CATTGTTTTCAGGACTCATATGATATTAACTTTTTATTCTGCCTGGTAGCTTAGTTTGTTATAACACAATGCCTACCTGAGCTTATTGATATGCCCTCGAAAAGTAATCTTCTTCTTATAAAATAAACTGTCTGCAATAGCTACAATACAAAAATATTTAAAAATTAAAGGTTACGGCTGTTTTTACATATATTTATTTAAATGGTTTCACCTCAAATCTAAAACGAAAACTTCGGCCAATCAATTTGAATTCATATATCTCTAATCAGATATTTACATGATGTAGTGTACCTGATTCGTTCCCCTTTTTAACTCATTTCTTCCATTAAACCGCTGACCGTAAATGTCAATAATTGAATAGAACTACTGACACAGTCTCAATGGCTAGCCACATTACCTCTGTGTGACTAAAAACCGATAACCAGATACCCACATACTCAATCGCCGCAACAAAAGTGGAGTATGCAAAAGCAAAAACAAAGACCTGCAAAAAATAATAAATTTAGCTCTTAGGGAAAGAAAACTAAACCGCTAACACGCCACATACCTACAAACCTACCTATTTGTTGTATTTGTACGTATATGAGTTTTGCAACGAAAAGAAGCAACCACGTCACGACTCAATGACAACAGCGACATGCAAATTGCTCCAATTATCTAGGTTGGTCGGTGTATGTGTGGGCATGTATGTGAGACGTTGCTTATTTTTTCCCTTAAACTACATACATATTTTTAAATCACAAAAACAGCAATGGCCAATAGCAAATTACATATCCACACTTACACACATACACACATACAATCATGGTCTGCTCATTAACTACTTGCGCTAGTATTTGTAGGTGAACGCACACACACACATTTGTTGACATTGTTGTGCATCCCACTTAAGTCACTCAAATGGCGACAAGACGCAAATCTATGGTCGTTTGATGTTGTCGCATGCGCTGTCCATTGTTGCAGCGTTGCCCTACAAGGCAGCACTAGACAACCAGACTGCCATACTGCCAGACAGCCGCAGAGACAGACCGGCAGCCAGCAGTGTTCTCTATTATTCGAGCTCTGCTTTCGTGCTGTTTTTAATTGTGGCTTGCCACCGAGTGCACCGATGATCAAGTGGGCGCGCATGGAGGTGTGACACCTTGTGATCGCCCCTGTAATTTGCATTGCATTAGGCCGAACGGCAGCATTGTTGTAAATGATGTGAACATTTACATACTTGAGTCGATATTTTTATTAAAGTGTTGGTGTGTTGCATGTATGCTCGTTGATGTGCACTTGAGTGTTGTTGCTTGACATCGAAATGCTTTACAAATAGCTTTGTTTTGTCTTCAAAATTACGGGTATAAAACTTGATTAGCTGTTGCTGCAATTTTGCTGCGAACTTTGTTTACAATGTGTGCAATAAATACAGATTTATAGTAGTGCTTCACTAAAGCGACCTAGAAAAGGGCTTAAAGCCGTTATTTACGCATGAAAGCTGGGAAAAATCCTTTAGAAGTTTGCAATAGATAAAATTAAACAAATCTGCCAAAAATGTTTACTTATATTCATATATACCATAAACAAGTTCGAGATGCCAATATATCTTAGGCTAGTACTGTTTCCAAATCTCAAGATCATGGCTATGTTATTATAATTTTTCTAACTGAAAGCATACTATTCGTAGATCCGAAAAACAACTAAGATTATATTTTCTTCGAAAAAGTACCTCAAAATTTGGTATATTGTATATTAGTATAGGCCTACATACCTACATCTTAGAAAACGATAATCATAAATTTGTGTAAGATTATGTTAGTTTAAAATCAAAAAAAAACGATCAATAGTTTATATATCAGTGGAGCTTATTAAGCTTATTAAAAATCTACTAATACGATTAAATTAGATTGCTCGTTAGTTCTCTCACAAATAGGGCAAAACGAGTTTGAGAATAAAAGTAAAAAAGAGAACACAGAAAATTCTAAAAGAAAAACCAAATGTTAAAAGAAAAAGTCACAAGAGCTAACAATATTAAATAAATCACTAACTATTGTTAAATAAATGAAAAAGGCTTCTGACGGATTGTCTGACGAATAATCCCACAACAATAACAAAATACATTGCATTTTGAGTATAATGTACAATAGCATTGATGAACTGTATTAGTCACTATTGATCCAGATCAGAGCAATAATAATTATTTTATGTATATCTTACATTAAATAAAATATGATAATTTTTGTTAAAAAGAGACATATGTTTATACTCAATAAACTGTTTATAGGGTGTTTCACAAGTTCATATATTTGCTTGTTACCATCTATTTCGCTTTTAATTTGCAGTTAAGCGGTTATATCTACTTGTTAATTTTAAAAAGTCGAATTTTGTTTGTATATTTATCGAATCTACATATAATTGGTAATATTATCCGAAAATTTTAAGTTGATCCGGAAAATACTTTCGTAGATGATTTATATGAATTCTTTGACTTAGTATAATCAAAACACACTATTTAAACACATTTTTCTCGAAACGCTGTTTTTAAAGTCGCTGAGTAAAATTCTCCGAAACGGTGAAAGAGTTTTGACTAAAGCTTAGGCTGATTCAAAAATAAATTTTTAATTTTTCTTTTTTCAAAATCCTCACGTAAAAATTTTCGTGGGAGAGTAAAAAGAAAGAAGAACCGCAGATTTCTATTTCCCATTTAAATAACACGGAAAAATGTTTTCTTTAATTTTGGAATTTTGCAACTCTGACCGGTTTAACGGATTGTTGAACCAAATTATATTCTTATAGGAAATTTGACGCTCTACAAAAAAGTCTTCAGAAAATTAAAAAAAAAAACAAGAAAAAACGTAAACTTCGGGTGCACCGAAGCTATAATTCCCTTCACAAATACAAAGGCCCCTTACAAGAACTTGATTCCGAACATTCAATTTGTATGGCAGCTACATATATGATATAGTGATCTGACCTGACCAATTTCTGCGGAGAATAATTTGTTGCCTTAAGCGAAAACTCGTGCCAAATTTCGTGAAGATAAATCGTTAAATAAACAAATTTTCCATGCAAGCACTTTACTCCGATCATTCAGTTAATATGGCAACTATATTATACTATAATATGCAGCTATAGTCATCCGATCTATACAATTTCTTCGGCGATTAATGAAAGTGTTTCCCATACAAACTCTTGATTCCGATTGTTCAGTTTGTATGGCAGCTATATGCTATAGTGGTTCGATATCGGCCGTTCCGACGAATGAGCAGCTTACTAGTGAGAAAAGGACAGGTGCAAAATTTCAGATCGATAGCTTAAAAACTGAGGGACTAGTTTGTATATATACAGACAGACGGACAGACAGACGGGCATGGCTAACTCAACTCAGATCATCATGCTGATCATTTGTGTATATATTTTATAGGGCCTTGTGTGCTTTTTAATTTTAAGATAATCAGATACTTTTTTCGGAGGTTCTCCTGACTTTTTTTTTAATTATTTATTAAATTCCTGTAAAAAGGATTCAAAAATAACAAATTTTTCTGATTTACAAGTGGATATAACACCTTAAAGAGGGGTTTTAATATAATATTTGTTGTGTGATTAGTTGTCATAAATATATTTCCTGACTCCTAATATTTACTTCACTATTCAGTATTTTCATTTTCTTTTGATACAGATATTTTACTTTTTTTATTTAGTAATAGCTTTGTATATAAGTTTTAACATTTTTCTTGACTTATCATGTATGTGCAAGTATATATTTTTATATATGCACATATACTGTGTATGTATATATATATATATATGTACTTCATTGCATATTTTTTCTCTGCCTTCTACAGTGGCCACAGTAATTGCATATTTGTTGTAACAATAGTGCTTAGTTGCTGTTATTTGTTGCACACTAATGCAAATGTGGTTTTTGTTGTTGCCTTAGTTTTTACGTTTTCCATGACTATTTGCTGGGTAACGTGCATCACGTTCGCCGATGCAATTCTGCAGATAACTGTGCTTTTTTCATGTAGTTGTTTTTATTTCTACATGCTGCGCTGTTACATAATCACAGAGCACATTCGGCACGGTAGTAAATAGTAAAATAACGAAATCAAAATAGCAATAGAAGCCAGAGTACTTGGCAAACAGCACACAAAAAATCGCTCAAGCTATGGCGCAGCAACATCAAACAGAAGAATCAGCGATCGGAAGAAGCTGCAACAACAAGCAATACACTAAGCGAAGCGAAAAAACGGGGAAATACAAAAACAAGCAAAAACTAAAAATGGCATTAAGCGAGCTCAGCGTTTTTCACCAAGACTCGAAATTATTTTGTTGCCAGGTTTTTGCAATTTTTTCCCAGCATCGTTTTGTGTTATTGCTTATTTAGCTTCGTTGTTGTTTTTGTTGTTTTGCACTGTTTTTGATTTAATTTTTCAACTTGCTTCAGTTTGGTTTCTCACTGCGGCTGACGCTGAGACTTTCAAGCCGCAAGTGCATGCCTTGCTTGCTCGCTTTTGCATTACAATCAGCATTTTCTTGAGCTCTGAGAATGTGGGTCAATTGCTTACCCTCCTTATTATCATCATCATCATCAGCAACAGCAACTTGAAATCGGCTGCACACTCCATCAACTGACTTTTAAGGCAGCTAGCACTGCTAGCGCCATTATCCACCAACAACAAAATGTATGTGTGCACATCAAAAGCCTTCCGCCAAAACTTTTCCATAACCTCCCTCATTTTGGCCGAACCGCATGCGCATGATTTAAGTAATTACATTTTTTTATTTTTTTTTTTATTTTTAACAGCCTTGCTTTCAGCACCGCAACGCAACTGTTGCACCAAATTATTTAACGCGAATTTATGTTTTGCTGTTTTTATGCTAAAATGCGCGCAAAAACAGCTTGACAATTTGTCATTTTAAAGTATACACGTATAAAGCTGGCAAAAATAGTAATTAAAAATAGCATTTAATTATTTTAGTTTACTAATCTGTTTCTGTTTCTAATTTTGTTGCAGTTTTGTCGACAATTTAACGAGCCTCAACGGTATTGTCACGTTGCATGTAAGTATTTCTTTGCTTTTTTTAATGTAATAATTGGCTATCACATACAAAATGACAAATAAATGTCAGTACATATAGCACATTTGGCATAAATGACTATAAACTGTACAAAAGACTTAAGCGACGAACTTCTGTTAGTTTTGTGTTGAATTTTGCTGTGTGAACATGTGAACATGAGGCAAACTTGGCAGAATCTCTTGAAAATTACAGTGTTTTCCGCACGGATATATATGTATATTTTTATTTAATTATTTTTGACCAAATGTAAACAAATATTCTTCTAAAATGATTTAACTTTATTTGTTTTATAAGCCTATACGAGATTTCGCCTCAATATTTTTTTAGGAAAGAGATTTTTTTCTCTAACTATATGTTATTTTAATATTAATTCAGAAATATCCAGCCTTAGTAAAGTTTTTCAAAATATAATTTGTTCTCTTTCTAATAGAAGCTGGCATTTTAATTTCTAAATGATTATCCATAATAATATTTTTTCTGATTCCATCCAAATTTCGTAAAATCTAATTTTAAAATATCATGCAATATTGCTTTTTTTAATCATATATCAACTGTACAAACTGATTATTTTCCACTTATAGAAAAAAAATTTAATCGATTTAGGAAGGGTTGCAATTTTTTTTTTTTTTAATTTTCGGATTAGATTTACAATTTTTATCACAAAATTTTTGTTTTTTAATTATTAACTTGGAATTAAAATTTTTACAATTGTCAATCCGGCCTTTAGAATTTAAAACTTATTTTTAATTTTTCGATCCAGTATTTGGCATTAGATATTTGAATATTTTTTTAAATTTAGATTTTCGGGATTACAAAAAAATAAAATATTTACATGTTAATTTTAAACAAATTATGTGCAACCCTAGATTTAGACCATTTTGAAGGACATTATTACAGTAATTATAGTTTTATTTTTTTTTATTTGCTTGCATGGATCTAGGCTCGGTTACTGTCACAATATAATAAATAATTAATAAACATTATATAAACTACTATTGACCAATTGATTGCATCAATTCATTCGAACTTTTATTGAAGGACGATATTTCATTAATTTTACAACTTTAGCATAACGTGAGAATCCCTATAACAAAATTTATATTTTTCACTTAAGTGGGTATTCTAGTCTTTAAAGTGTCGTAAAAAAGAGGCAATTGATATTTTTACTATACATTTTTTTATTAGTTACTTATTAACATTAGCAAGAATACAGGAAAAAATAAAAAAAGGTAAAAATTTCAAAAACTAAAAACGTTGGCACGTGACTATACCTACGATTTCAACCCTCCCAGCAATCTGAATTCAAAAAACGAAAAGAAATTATCAATCTAGAATAATGTCGCAATGTCTGGAACTACGGAAAAGTTGGAAAAAATTTTTCACGAAATGACGACTGCCTGTATAAAAAAATCATTTCTTTAACCACTTTTTTGACTTTGAATCCTTTATGAGAGATATTTTTGAATATTTAAACTGCCAAAATATGTAAAAATTTTTTTTAGATATTTTAAAATTTCTGGACTAGAATACCCCCAATATTCAAATTCTCCATGAATAAAAGCATAGTTCGAGATTTAAATGAAGAAAAAATGCAAATTTGATTTTTCTTGGAGTCAAATTGTTAGTTCATAATAAACAAACCTTTTGCATTTTCGCTGTAAATCCATTCATGATTTTTAGCAATAAATCCATTTATTTATATTTTTTTGTCGGAACTATTTGAGAGAAGTTTAGTCTGTTTAGCATTAAATGGCAAAATTAAAAAAAAAATTTATAAAAAGTATTTCTTATATTTTTAGTATTTTCCCAAATACTGAAATCAAAATAATTATTTTAGGGCACAAATAATGATTTTAAAACTTAATAACATTTTTTATTAAATTGCAAAAGACTTTTCTAACCAGTGAACTAACAACTATATCGTTCTATATACAAACAAACATATGCACTCTAATAACAAATAGTTATACAAAATCTTGTCAAAACAAATTTGCAACAATTCCGTAAACACTTGCTCGATTTGTAAATACAACTAAAGCAAGAAATAAATTTAAAAAAATATCAACTCAACTCAACCAAAAAAAGGTGTAGCCACATTCCTGCACAACATTGCAGCACTGAGACCAAAAAAACCCGCATTCGCCACATCGTCAAAATGTCAAAATATTCGTACAAAAAACTCCATCAAAATGAAACACGTAGCGCAAATAAGCACACACACATGATATACGAGTATATGGCATACACTGAACGTCCTTCACAGCTTAAAAGAGCTACCTATAAACCATAAAAAATTTTTAATAAAAAAGGAAGTGATCTAAAATTAAAAAAAAAGAGATTTCTCATAATGGAAAACCTGTAAGCGAAAATTTAGACAAGTACAGAGTTGACTTGAAAAGAAGTACATGAAGCAAGGCGCTCGTTAAGGTGCGGTAAAGCATTTTGAGTTTGTCTTTTTTTTAAAGTACTTGAGTTTATATGTATGTATTATGTGCATATGCATTAAGTTGGCGAAAACAGGCTTAAACTGCACAACCAAAAACCAAAGGCAAATACAGCAACGTGTAGAAAAAGCTGTTTGATTTGTTTTTTCACATAAAAGAAGTAAAAAAATTTAAAAATATTTTTATGAATAAATATTTATATATTTAAAGTAAAATGAGGTTAACAAATGTTTTAATGAGTTATATTCGGCAGTTCTTTATTAAATATAGTTTTTTTATTATTATATTATATTATATTATATTATTTATTATTCGATAAATTGTCCCAAACTTCAATCATGCATTCATAGGCGAGAATTTGTGTAAAGTTCCATTTTCCGAATAACATCAAGAGAACACCACATATTCTGACTTCACTGCTATTATTTTACTTTTTTATACCCTTAACAGACAGGGTATATTAAATGTAGGGTGCGTCAAAAAAAAAACTGATATTATCTGTCCCAAAAACAACGCAAGATTGGAACTAAATAAAAAACACAGTTTTTAGTCTTTCAATAGTAATTTTTTTTATTGAGTATATTGAAGTACATAAGGTAGGGTTATTTATGGAATAATACATCGCGCAAATGGCCACGGCTTTCTATACACATACGCACTAGTTTGTCGAAAGTTTCTATGACTATTCTACATAAATGTGGCTGAATTTCATTGATGCAACGTTGAATCTCCTCCTTTAAAGCCTTCAGCTCAAAATTAATGCATTGTAGATGCATTTATTTTTCGACAATCACATGTGGGCGGCAATTTTGGAGATGAACAAAGTTATCACAGTGAAAGTGGGCTTCATCCCATTGGATGATTTTGATGATATAAAATTTTCGAACTGCGGCCACTAAGCTTTTATTATTTTTAAATTATTGTTCAATAATGAAGACACATTGTTCTTTCATGTAACGCTCCATTCTTGCTAAGCCTAAACTGTCAGCTGTCGATTTGCTTTTTTTAGGTTTGTCAACACTTTACTGCAAGTACATAAATGGTGACAAATTTAAATCTACCGTTAATTTTGGGACACCCTTTACGTACATAACATCTATAATAATATAATTTACAAATCCAAGATGCTTGACGCTTAAAGAAATACCAACGCAATTTTGCAGCTGTGAGCAAAATTTTATGTTTTTTTTTGTTTTGTTTTGCTATGTTATCTTTAATATTTCCTCTCTCGAATCACTGCATCGATATGTTTTTATTTTCATTGTTTTCATTTGATTTCTTCATTTTAATATTTAAAATTTTTGCATACTTAACTTTTACGAAAAAGCCAACAACAAACAACTCATTGTTGTTCGAATGTGCTCGCACCAACAGCTGCGCTGGTGAATTTAGCATATTCACCCGCTCTTCAGCAGCTACCTAACATTACTGTATCGTAATCACTTGCGTTACATTGTTTGCTGTGTAGCTGGTGGTACGTGGCACCATGCAGCACCTTCCCCATTTCGTCGTTGTGCCACTATGTGCACTCCACTTGCAAAGTTATCTGTTGTATAAATACATACATATGTACATGCACTATATGAAAGTACGTGTGTACGCGCAACTGCGCCATCGATTGTTGCAGTTGTTTTCGCAATTCTTTGGACTTTCACGTCGATGCCAATCGGAATTTGTTGCATGATCCAGCTTGCTTGTGCGCTTTGTTTGCTTTGTGCACAACGTCGCCACTCAGCGGAGCCAGCGCTTGATGTAGTTAAATTCTTTATATAACGGCACACTTTGGTGCAAACGCCCGCTTGTGCAATGTGGCAACTCCATGTGCGGCTTAACGCTGCACCTGCTGCATTGTTTTCACCAATTGCAAGTTGTTGCTATTGCTGTTGTTGTTGTTATCGCTTGTTTTGCTGTTGCATTTCTCTTTTTCTCTTCGTTTCGCTTGTGCAACTTTCAATCATTACTGTACATTGTGCGTGTGCACCACAAGCCACTAGCAGTACGTGCGTGGCACAAAGGTGTTGCGCTTTGAAAATCAAAATTAAAATAAAAAGCAATTCAAGCCGTAATTTTTGCGAAAACGCATGCTTGCTCCTTGCAACGGTTAACTCACTGCGCATTTTCGCACACATTTGGCGAGCGGTCAGCGCAATTGCATTATAATTAAACGACTGAAGTCGCTTAACTAACCAAGTGTGTGAAAATTTGGATTTCCTGTATTTCCTTGTTTATGCATTCGTGTATTTTCGCAGAGTTTGCAAAAATTGTGAAGTTTCGTTTAATGCAAACGTTTGTCTTTCGCTTATTTTACAAGCTGATTTAGTCAAACAATTATGTAATTTCTTTCTTTAGATGTGAATAACGGGGGAATTGTTTGTTGTTCAAATAGTTTAAGGGTTTGGCTACTATATTTATATGAATGATGATACTGTCAATATTTGCCGGGTTAGTTGAGTCTTTAGTTACCAAAAACCGTTTTTTTGTATTAGCAGATTGGCCTAAACTTCTGCAATGTTTACTCGTATATTAAGAATGTTATTT